TGCTCTCCCATTCTCTGCCACCACTCCCCACACACTCTATTGATCTGTCTTCAATTTATTTATAGTTGAAAATTAGTTCATTATGGGTACATATATAAAAGTAACTTCACTGTGGTATATTCATACAAGTACATAGGAAAGTTTGGTCAGATTCAGTCCACTGTTTCTCCCTTTTCCCATTCTTCTTTTCACACTCTCAATCCCCTTTGCACTGCTCCACTGATCTTTCTTCTATTTCCATGTGATTCCCCCACAGCTTTTTCTTCTTTCCTCCCTTATTTTGTTCTAGTTTCTGTATAGAAGAGAAGATATATGACCCTTAACTTTTTGGGTCTGGCTTATTTCACTTATCATGTTTTTTTGGACAAAAACAGGTTAATGTTCTCCAGTTTCATCTACTTACCAGCAAATGTCATGATTTCATTTTCTTTATGGTTAAGAAAAACTGCATTTTGTGTATGTATGTATGTATGCGTGATATATATATATATATATATTTTTTTTTTCACAGTTTTTAATCCATTCACCTTTAGATGGACACTTAGGCTGCTTTCATACCTTGGCTGTTGTGAATTGGCTACTAAAAATGGATGTGGCTGCATTCTGATGGTATGCTGATTTTGAGTGTTTGGAAATGTATCAAGGGATAGAATAATAGCTGGGTTACAGGGTAGTCCATTTCTAGTTTTTTTTTTTTTTTTTTTGAGGGCTCTCCATACTTCTTTCCAGAATGGTTGCATTAATTTGCAGCCCTTCCAATAAAGTACAAGTGTGCCTTTCCCCCACATCCTTTCCAATATTTATTATTATGTGTGTTCTTGATACTTGCCATTCTAACGATATTGAGATAAAATCTCAGTGTAAGGTTTTGAATTGTTAATCATATTGAACATTTTTTCACACATTTGTTGGCCATTTGTGTTTCCTCTTTTGAGAAGTGTCTATCTATTTAGTTTCTTTGCCAATTTATTAATTGGTTTGTAGTGTTCAGTTTTTGAGGTTCTTTCTATATTCTGGACATTAATGACTTATATGAGGAGCAGGTAGCAAAGTTCTTTCATTGTGTAGGCTCTCTCTTCATGCTTTAAATTATTTGCTTTTATGTGAAGAACCTTTTAATTTCGGCTTATCTAACTTACTAATTCTTAGGTTCATTTCTTGCCCTTTAGGAGACTTGTTAAGGAACATGATATGTGTGCCAATGTGTTGGGAGTGTTGAACCTAGTTTTCTTCTAACAGTTGCAGGGATTATGGTTTAATCCCTAAATTTCATCCTCTTTAATTTTGTGCAGGGTGGAAATATAGGGTCTAGTTTTGTTCTTCTACATATGCATACTCAGAACTATTTGTTTAAAAAGCTATATTTTCTTCAATATAAGTTTTTGGCACCTTTGTTGAATATTTGATGACTGTAATTCATGGGGGTTTGTCACTGTGTCTATTCTGTTCCATTATTCTTCATGTCTGTTTTGGGTGCCAATGCTATGGTAATTTTGTTACTATAGTTCTTGTAGAGTTTGAAGTCAGGTATTGTTATTTCTCCAGCATTGCTTGTCTTGCTCAAGATTGTTTTGTTTATTCTGGGTCTCTTATGCTTCCAAATGAATTTTAGAACTGTCTTCTTTAGTTCTGTCATGAATGTCATTGGTAATTCTATGGGGGTTGCATTGAATCTGTATGACATTTTAGGTAGTATAGTCATTTTGACAATATTAATTCTGTCTATCCAAAAACATGGGAGATCTTTCTGTCTTCTAAGATATTCATCAATCTACTTTGTCCATGTTGTATAGTTTTTACTACAGCTGCCATTCACCTCCTTGGTTAGATTAATTTCCAAGTACTTTTTTTTAGGTTATAGTGAATAGAATAGTTTTCATAATTCCTTTTTTAATCAGATTAATTATTAGAGTACAGGAAAGTGGTTGATTTACATATGTTTATTTTGTGTACTGCTACTTTGCTAAATTTAACTAGTACTTCTAGAATTCTTCAGATAAAGTTTTGGGTCTTCTAAATATAAGATGAAGTAATCAGCAGAGATAATTTGATCTCCTGTTTTTCCATTTTATTCATTTAATTTTCCTTCCACAACCCCACTTCTCTCTCTCTCTCTCTCTCTCTCTCCTCTCTTTTCCTGATTGTGTTAGCTAGAGTTTCAGGGTCTATGTTAAATAGTAGTGGTAGGAGTGAACATCCTTGTCTTGTTCTTGTTTTAGAGGAAATGCTTTTCATTTTTCCCTATTCGGTATGATATTGGCCTTCTGTTTGTCATATATAGCTTTTAGAGTGTTGAGGTAATTTTTAAAATATGAATGGGTACTGTATTTAAAAAATGCTTTTATTTTATTTTATTATTTTTGCATCTATTGATATAATCATGTGATTATTTTTCTTAACCTCATTTATGTGGTGAATTTTATTTATTGATTTGTGTACATTGAACCAATCTTGCATCTCTAGGATAAAACCCACTTGATCATCATGTATTATCATTTAATGTGTTTGTGAATGTGGTTTTCCAATATTTTATTTTATTTTATTTTATTTTATTGAATTTGTGTTCATTAAGAATATTGGTTTGAAGTTTTATTTCCTTGATGTGTCTTTATCTGGTCTTGGTATTAGGGTGATATTGGCTTCATAGAGTAATTTGGCAGTATTCCCTCATTTTCTACTTCATGGAATAATTTGAGGAGAATTGGTATTAGATTTTCTTCAAAGGTCTGTTAGAGCTCAGCTCAGGTTTTCTTTGTTCAAAAGCTTTTGCAGTAGCTTCAATTTTATTACTTGATATTGGTCTGTTTAACTTTTCTATATTCTCATGATTCAATTTGGGAAGGTCATATGTCTCTGGGAATGGGTCAATATCTTTGTGATAACCTAGCTTATTGGAGTATAATTCTTAAAAATAATTTCTAAAGATATTCAGAATTAGTGTCTGTGGTGATATCTCCTTTTGCATCTCTAATTTCTTTAATTTGAGTCTTCTTTCTCTTTCTTTTGGTGAGTTTGGCTAAAGGTTTTTCAATCTTGTTCATCCTTTCAAAGAACCAACTCTTTGTTTCATTGATTTTTTTTTAATTCTCAGTTTTATTGATTTCAGCTTTGATTTTATTTTTTTTCCTGTCTTCTACTGATTTTGGCATTAGTTTGTTCTTATTTTTAATAGCTTTGAGGTTAATGTTACATTATTTATTTGGTATGTTTTTATATTTTAATCTAGTAACTCAGTGATATAGACATTCCTTTTGTAAATACCTTCATATTGTGCCAGAGATTTTGATATGTTGTATCTCTATTTTCATTTGTTTCTAATAATTATTTTTTCTTCCCTGATTTATTCTGATTTAGTCCTCTTTCAAAATTATATTTAATCTTCAGGTGTTAGAATTGTTTCTTTTTTATCTTGTTGCCAAATTCAAGTTTTATTCCATTATGATCTGATAGTATACAAGGTATTATCTCAATTTTTGTGCTTCCTGAGATTTGCTTTCAGACCTAGACAATGACCTATTTATAAAATATTCCATGTGCCACTGAGAGAAAAGTGAATCCAGTTTATGTATGGAATTTTCTATGTTCTCTATATATCATATATATTATTCTACATTTCACATTCTGATGAACAGATATATTATACATTTCTATATTATATATTCCATATTTTTATACTATGTCCATTTGATTAATGAAAATTTTAGTTCTGAATAATCTTTAATTAGTTTGTGTCTAGAGACCTATATAATGTTGATAGAAGTGTGTTAAAATTACCCAGTATTATTGTATTGTGGTCTATTTGATTCCTTATATTGGAAAGTTTTGTTTTATGTTTGTAGATGGAATGTTGTTTGGAACATAAATATTTGTAAGCATTACAAATATGCTGTTGGATGATTCCCTTAACTACTCTGAAGTGACCTTCTTTGTCTCTTCTAATTTATTTTGGCTAGAAGTCTACTTTGTCTGATGAGAGTATTTACCCATATATACTTTTGGTTTTTGTTTGCAAGAGCATATTTTTTTCTTATCTTTTCACCCTTAGTTGATGTATGTATTTGTGTATAAGATTAGTCTCTTGTAAACAACATATGGCTATGTCTTGCTTTTTAATCAAATGTGCCAATCTATGTCTTCTAATTAATGAGTTTAGACCATTTTCATTCAATTTCTTATTAAGAGCTCATTTTTTGTTTCCTGATATTCTGATTTGTTTCTAATGCTTGATTCTCCTTTAATTGATGGTTCTTCCAGTGATATCCTTCCCTATGCTGGTTTTCAAAGTGGCATAGAACGTAGTAGGTAGTAGGCTATTGCAAGCATAGGACCTGTGGTTGTGATTCTTCATGGGTGGTCTATGGTGCAGAAGTGTTGGAATAACTTTCAGATGCAGCTAGCAGCTCCAAGCAGCTCCAAAGTGCTTGAAATATCCACATTAGTTCAGGCCTGACAGGAGCACATGCAGGCTGGGGTGAAACCACACACTCAGCACTTGTGGTTAGCATTGTGAAACTACCAGGCCAGGAAACTGAGAGTCAGGGACTTCAGGGCATGAAATCCCTGACTCAGTAAGCTCCCACCCTGAGGGACAAAGACCCTTCCAGATTGCTTTCCACCAGGACAGTAATATTTAGAGTTTCCTCCACAGTGCAGTTACATTAGGCAGAAGATGACTGGCTTATGGATATTGTCTTGCTTATGTATGATTAATGGGCACGCCCACTGGAACCCTATAACAGTTGTGTGCATTCCAAAAATAAACTGAGCTACTGGATGACTACTTGAGGCTTCTCTCCAGCCAGTTCTCTCACCAGCTCCCAGAGTCTGTGTGTTGATTCCAGTTCTCTACCCCTGTGACTGAGGTAGCTGAGCAACTAATTGACCATGCCAGTGACAGGAACGTATGCACAGAAGCATTCCCCTTGATTGATACAGATCAACAAGCCACTCTCCCTGCTACCCTGAGATTCAGTTTGTTCATGGATTCTAGTTCTCATTACCCAAGATTGGAAACTGTGGGTGTTGCTGACCTCTGCTAACTGGAACAGAGACAACCATCCCATCCATGTCCCAGCTTCTGCTTGCTGCTGCTGCAGCTATAAATAACACCAATTCACCACAGTGAATTGCGACTTCCACTAAGTGTTTGCAGGCTGTGTGGAGTGCTGGGTCTAGCTAGCACTTCCTACAAGTGCACTGATGTTTGGTCTGATCCACACCACTTTCCATGTTTGTGGGAACGGGGAGGGCTTCATCAACTTTAATTTAGTAGCAGTCACTCTACAACTTCCTTTTAAATGACTTATTGAATACCCTCTGCAGGGCTATTCCCTCTTGCTATCTGAATTTCTTGCTATCTGAATGTGTGAAGATGGCGTTTCATTTAATTTCTTCTAGTTTGGCTGGCCACTTGTGGGCTCCAGGAAATGTCTGCCATGCCTAGCCTAGCACAGGTTCAGTTTTTTTTTTTTTTCAATGAACCTGTCACTCCAGTGTATTTTAATTTGGTCTGCTTTCCTAAGCTGTTGCCGCTAAGGGTGTGAGCTCATGTCCTCCTCCCCTCTATGTGTATGTGTGTGTG